TCTACGGCGAACGTAAATACTAAACGAGAGTCTAGGTATACTCCGATAGACTAGTAGGCGTACTTTAGGTTAAGTATACTATATAAGCTAATCCGCGGGTCCGCTAGCTTATTATAGACTTTATTTAGCTAAGTAATTAATATCCTAGGTATCTCCTTAGTTACGTAGCTATAGTTAAAGGTAAGTCTACGCTCGGCCTAAGGGTCTACCTCCTATCTAGACTTAACTACTAGGACTAGTTCTACTCTCTAATCCGATAGGGTACTATTTATTAGTAATATAGACTTATATATACCCGCCTCGATACTATCCTAGATTAGTTTATATAGCTAGTATTACTCTATTAGTATTCGACGTTTCCTAGGGGACCTATTCTATAGCTATATTCCCGGTTTTAAGCGTACGTAGTATTTATATAGATCTATTAGTAGGATATTATATATTGAATTTGCGGTAAGCCTACGGTAAGTATATAGGGTCCTTATTATATCCTTATATAGGTTATCCGGTATTAGTAGCCTAAGTATATATCCCGAGTCCTTAATCTATTATATAATAACTCCTATAGGTATAGTCTTATCTATCGGTAAGCGGTCTATACGCTATTTAGTCGGGAAATATAGACTTAGATAATATTCTATATTAGTGCCCTTAGGGGTAGTCCTCTAGAGCTCCTTATCTAGGTCTAGTTCTATAGTTATAGTTAAGGAATATACTCTTAAATAGTTAGTCTCCGTTAATAGTTAGCTATCTTAATAGTAATATAGGCCTTTTACCCTTATATATAATATACTATTATACGTAGCTACCCTTAGAGTATGAAAATATAACTATACTAGGTAGGTTCTAGTTAGGTAATTAAATCTACTAATAATATCGTCTAGGTATAGTTTTCCGACTTATCTAGGTCGTATAGGTAGGATTAGTTTTCCGAATTAGATTAGGCTTCTATATCTATATCTTTAGTATTATTAGAGTCGCCCTAGTTATTAGCCGATGAATTATTAGTATTAGTATTACTATCTAGGTCTTAGTATAGTACTATTATACTCTCGGGGTCTAGTAGTATCCTCTATCTTATAGAAGGTTGAAGTCTAGGGCCTTATAGCGCTCTAGCCTCCTCCTTTCTAGTTAGGTTATTAATTATTAATTAGCTATTCCGAATATCTAGGTATACGTTTACCTCCTAGAGCTAAGGGAGGCCTAGTATTAGTTATACTCTATAGGACCCGTAAAAATCAGGTCTAACGATAGCCTAGATGTCCCTCTATAGGCTATCCACTATAGCCTTGAGGACGACGAATTCCTATATAGGGGTTATATTCCCGTCTAATATAGTAATATATAGTCCCCTAAGTCCTATTAATAAGAGACTATATTTAGGGATCTAGTAGAAGTTAATAATAGCTAGGGAGATTATATTAACTTTAGAACCTTAATCGGCCTATATTAAATTAAGTAATATAAGGAATCTAATTATCTTACCTCTAACCTTAGCTATAACTATATAGTCTACTTAATAGGGTCTAGTAGCTATATATAACCTAGGTATTATATCTAGACCTATTAGCCTCTAGAATCCGGGGGGTAATCCCTTAGCTTCTAGTAAACCTAATATAATATATATCTTAGATATAGCTCCTTTCTAGGTAATATATTTATAGAGATATTTAATCGTATTCGGGGAAATTTATATAATCTCTATAAGGTTTACTTAAATAATAAACCTCTTAAAAAAGGCTAAGTAATTAAAGGGGACGGTATTATCTTAATTAATAATAGGGGCTAACCTATCCTATCTAGGCTTCCTAGCTTTACGGCTAATATAAGTCGTTAGTCCTCTATTCTAGGCGGTTGCCCTAGGGCGTATAGCTACTACGTTAGCTAGGTCTTCTAGTAATACCCC